ATACCATGCATGATATAGTAACAATTTGATGGTTTTAATATCATCATATATTGTATTATATGACATGATTTAATTTCTCATGTTTTTCTGAGAAACAGAGCACGGCAAGTGTTTCCGCGACAGTGCAGTCAGGCGCGCAAATCCATTTTGAATTGTGGGGGGACACCAGTAGCAAACACGCGAAGGGGGGGGGAATTTTTGAAATTAGACCCCCTCAGATGCGTTTCTGCGCGAGCAGGGGGGGGGGTCCCCTGTGCACGCCCCTGAACACACACACACACACACACACACACCACACGCACGCACGCACGCACGCACGCACCGCACGCACGCACGCACACACACACACCACACACACGCATTTGGTTTGTGATAAGATTACGAAAAGGGTCCACATGCAGTCATAAAATCAAGAAAAGCACAAAGCAAAAACCAATCATTTGGTGTTGAGGCTGATCACAAAATAAGATTGGTCCATTATTATTGTTGTCATCATATCATATCATGCGTGTATATATATCATCAATTGCAATGCGAAATTCATTTATAAAACCGACATGCCTCAGTTACTAAGCTGTCCTCTCTTGCATTGAATATAGACTCGTGTTCCCAGCTTGAATTCAGTGTTCTAAGTGAGGTTGATATCTACCTAAAACTTTCATAAACATACTTTCTCTGATGATCTTCTGCATAAAGAATTAATTAATATAACAAAAAAACGTGTTAAAAAAAAACGGTACTAAATTTATCAAGATAATTTTTCTCAACGTTGTGCATAGATTATTATTATGCCTCTCAAATGCACTGAAATTGAAATGAAAAGCTGGCCAAAAAAAGGGAAAGAAGCCAATCAGTTGCTACGCCACTAGCACACATTAAAAACGTTCTCACTTCACAAACCACACGCACGAACGCACGCACGATTCTGCTGACACTTCCCAATACGTATTGGAAAATATTGCAATACGGTTTTGTCGTATTGCAATATATTGCAATACGGTTTTTGGTCGCAATACTCACCCCTACTGACGACGTTCCACTGATACGCCTGAAACGCCGATAGACCACGTAGCACCATCTGGCGGTGGCGTTTGCAAGTTAATTTAAGACGCTAAACCTGATGTTTACCGAAAAGGGTTCTCCCCAGGATTTTCAGACGGCACGTCAGACAATAGGGCAATTCATACGACATTTTAGAGAATTTATAAAATGTAAATTGACCTCAGCCGTGAACATATACCATATCAGACCTGTTATGCATAAACTTAAATGCCTGAGAAGAACCCTGGAAATAAATTAAAATACGAATGTCACTAAGTGGTCAGTCAAGACAGCCAGAGGATGGGAATATTGCCCGCTGTACAGTTTTGTCTGTTTATAACATTATCACATGGAAATGTGAAGATGACCATGATAGATCATGTAAGCATGTCGTTAAATTAATTAGGATTTGCACTATACATACACGTAAATATGAGTTAATTTTATGAACTCAAAATTAGTTATGATATAATTATAAATACCTATGCGAATAATATTCAAGTTTATTGCTTAGGACTGCATTAACTCCTGTTCTCCATTTTCCGATGTAGAAGGGTGGCAAACTAAACTGTCTTATCTGTTTGCACTTCTTAAAACACGAATACTTGTCTGATATCAACTTGCAAGCCTCTTTAAACGTCAACAGAGACATATTGAATCACAGAACTGCAATTTAAACAATTTCCAACAATTCACGCATTTCAATGGGGGCAGCCATTAGTAATTGCGATCATTGCGCCCTCTCTTTTCACGATCCACACCCAATATCAAACATGGAGTCGTAAACAAATGCGTCGAAGTATTATGAATTGATTTCAATTCATATAGATTGATTGTATTGAACTTTACTGTGATCTGTAAACTGACCATTACATTGAAACACTCAGTATTCAGTTCAAGGTAACATACACGAGTTTAGTGTAATTGTGCTTGAGTGGTTCTACTTCTGCCGGCGGTAGTGATTGTTGGGATTGGACACATTGCGGTTCAAGGATAGAGAACATTAGATACAATAATGTAACCCAAACCCAAGAGGATAGGGTTACAAAGCCTCCCTATCCTTTTGTGCGGAGGAATGCCCGAGTGAATCACTCGGGCCGGTTTGCTGGTGCGTTTTCAGAGACTAGAACTTCCAAACTGGGTTTATTCTCAACACGAACCTTTCTCCGCTATCTGGGAACTTACTATGTATCGCGGCAATACTCTGGATTAAACTAATATAACCTGTTACAAAATTCGAAGTGACGAGCGGCGAATATACTGGCGCCATTTCTGTTGACCTGTGACGTACGCATTTCCCAAATGCGCATAGCGATCGGCAAACGCAGCGCCCTCCGATTGGTCGGTGAATCCGCTCTTCAAACCGAAGTACGTCAGCAGTCAACAGAAATGCGCTCAGTATATTCGCCGCTCGTCATCTCGATTTTTGTAACAGGTTATATTAGTTTAATACAGAGTATTGCGATACAGAGTAAGTTCCCAGATAGCGGAGAAAGGTTCGTGTTGAGAATAAACCCAGTTTGAGTTCTAGTCTCTGAAAACGCACCAGCAAACCGGCCCGAGTGATTCACTCGGGCATTCCTCCGCCACAAAGGATAGGGAGGCTTTTGTAACCCTATCCTCTTGGGTTTGGGTTACATTATTGTATCTAAGAGAACATGGGTCCCAATAAAACCAATGTCATTTACTTCAATATAAATATGATATTATATCAATATAATAGGTTTGGGTTATGGTTAGGGTTAGGGTTAGGGTTAGGGTTAGAATTAGGGTTAGGGTTAGGCACATTGGTTTTATTGGGACCCATGTTCTCTATCCTTGGGCCCAAATTGCCTAGAGGCTAGTGTAGTGCCAGTACTAGTTACTATAGATACAATAATGTAACCCAACAAAGAGTAGGGTTACAACGCGTACTATAGTTTTCCTGTGAGGTGCCCTGACTGATTCACTCAGGGCGGTTTTATGGTTCGTTTTTCGAGACTACAACTTCCAAACTGGGTTTTATTTAAACAACGAACCTTTCTCCGCTAATCCGGGACTTACTATGTATCACGAATACTCTGTATTAAACTAATATAACCTGTTAACAAAAATTCGAAGTGACGAGCGGCGAATTACTGAGCGCCATTTCTGTTGACCTGTGACGTACGCATTCCCAATGCGCATAGCGATCGGCAAACGCGCGCCGCCTGATTGGTCGGTGAATCCGCTCTTCAAACCGAAGTACGTCACAGGTCAACAGAAATGGCGCGTCAGTATATTTCGCCGCTCGTCACTTCAAATTTTTTGTAACAGGTTCTATATTTAGTTTAATACAGAGTATTGTGATACATTAGTAAGTCCCCGAGCATAGCGAGAAAGGTTCGTGTTTAGGAATAAACCCGAGTTTGGAAGTTGTAGTCTCGAAAAACCGAACCATATAACCGCCCTGCAGTGAATCACTAAGGGCCGCCTCCACAGTACGCATTGTAACCCTACTCTTGTTGGGTTACATTATTGTATCTACTAGTACTAGTACTACTACTAGTAGTACTAGTAGTACTAGTGAGTAGTGGTACTGCTAGTGGAGTATTAGATACAATAATGTAACCCAAACACAGGATAGGGGTTACAAACGCGAGCCTATCCAGGCGTTCGACACTAACGCTAGTCCGTTTAGTCGAGACTAGTAAAAAAATCAGAAGGACTAGTAATTTCCCATAGCAGTTAGTCCGGCGGGACTAGTTAATTTTCCTCGTCCCTCACCGTCCAATTTCCCATCGATTTTACCAGCAGCAGCGTCTCTCAACCAAGATCAAAAGAGCTATATATAACTCATTCCTATTAACAAGTTTTCCTTGTTAGACACTCTAGTACAAGTAGAACACTAGCCACGCTCTGCACGCCCTAAGCATGCTTAGACCCGTACGGCAGTATAAAACATTGTTACACAATGGGGCCACGAACCCAGTCTACCATCGATCGCTTGACAGTAGCTGTTTACATAGAACAAAACGGTCTGATTGTAGAAATGACGCAACTAATCAGTTTATAGCTCTCGTATTTACATCGCAACCACATCGCATGCGTGGTGCTACTTGAAGCAGTCCATACAAATAGTAGTGAAGCTAATAGTAGGTACATCCTTATCCAATTGTATAATAATTTATACTAACATCAAGGTAGTTATGTGGAAGTATTTGGACAGCGCTCGCCCTCCATCTCCCAAACGTAAATTGGCAGAGGAGAAATTAGATGCCAGCGTGCTATGATAAGACAGCACCATGCCTGTTCACGGAAACAGTGGGGGCCCAAGTGACCAGAACTGAAGTATTGAAATGGTTTGTGTGGCGATCAAAGAGGTGATGAAAAATGACAACGCACGCACGCACGCACGCACGCACGTGCACACGCACGCACACACGTGTACGTGCACACGCACGCACGGACGCACGCACGCATGTGCACACGCACCCACGCACGCACACACGTGCACGGTGCCACGCACGCACGTGTACGTGCACACGCATCCACGCACACACATGTATGCACGCACGCACACACGTGTACGTGTCCACGCACGCACGTGTACATTGCACGCGGCGCACGTGTACGTGCACACGCATCCACCACACACATGTACGTGCTGACGTACGCACGTACGTGTACATGCACACGCACGCAGGCACGTGTACCTGCACACGCACGTACACACACGCACGCACGCACATGTACGTGCATACGCACGCACACACGCCCGCACGTGTACGTGCACACGCACGCACGCACACACACACGCACATGTACGTGCCTATGCACGCACGCATGTGTACGTGCACACGCACGCACACACGTGTATGTGCCTATGCACGCACGCACGTGTATGTGCACACACACGTGTACGTGCACACACACGCACACACGCACGTGTACGTGCACACGCATGCACACACGTGTACGTGCACACGCACGCACACACGCACGTGCACACGCACCCACGCACGCAGCACCAACGACACACGTGTACGTGCACACGCATCCACGCACACACATGTACGTGCACACGCACGCACGCATACACGTGTACGTGCACGCGCGTACGTGTACGTGCACACGCATCCACGCACACACATGTACGTGCTGACGTACGCACGTACGTGTACATGCACACGCACGCAGGTACGTGTACCTGCACACGCATCCACGCACACACATGTACGTGCTGACGTACGCACGTACGTGTACATGCACACGCACGCAGGTACGTGTACCTGCACACGCACGTACACACACACACGCACGCACGCACATGTACGTGCATACGCACGCACGCCCGCACGTGTATGCCCCCACGGTACCGCATGCACGGCGGCACACACACACGCACATGTACGTGCCTATGCACGCACGCATGTGTACGTGCACACGCACGCACGCACACACGTGTACGTGCCCACGCACGTGTACGTGCACACGCACGCACACACGTGTACGTGCCCACTAACGCACGTGCACACGCACGCACGTGTACGTGCACACGCGTGTACGTGCGCACGCACGCACGCACCCACGTGTACGTGCACACGCACGCAAGCGTACGTGTACGTGCAGATCAGCTTTCCTCCCAGATGTCTTTGCACCTCTACTTTGCAACTCTGATTTCAATTCATTTATCGGTTTTCCCTTCGTAAATAGACGCCATTGTTTAGGCAGTGATACCGGACAGGCACGGCGCCCCATCTATCCAGCGATTAGTAAATGCGCACACCCATTAGAAATGCACATGCTATTGGAAAAAACGGCAGGCCTACACCGATTACGTCATGCCAGCTTGACAAGCCAAGGGGTTAGATGTCGGCAGCACTGTCCTCACCGACAAGGCCTGCCAGAGGTTCATTATGACGATAGCCGATACAAGGCGCCGGGAACAGTTTGTAGCTATAAATGAGGCCAAATTCCTTACTGTGATAATGACGGATCCACAGATTCCTCATCACAGGAAGCCGAAATTTTATTGTCGAATTAACATTTTATTTTATTTTATTTAAATTTATGATCCATATCAAAGTTACATGTATTTTATAACAATTGAATGTCTTTTACAAAACCTTTCTGGGGGACACCCCTTGTACCCTGGGAGAGACCCCTGTACCCCCTAGCAGAAGGGGGGCTCCACCCTCCTACCCCACCTACCTCCTGGCAAATCACAATGCTCGTCGCTCTGCGCCTAGTAAGAGTTCTTGCAGCAGGACTAGTAGAATCTTGGAAAGACTAGTAGATTTTTTCTCTTTTACAAGTCCTGTGGACTAATGAACTAAAATGGTTAGTGTCTAACGCTGCTATCCTTTTGTGTGGAGGAACCCTGAGTGAATCACTCAGGGCGGTGGTTTGGCTGCACATGGCAGCAAGAACAAGTCCGCCCCAGCAGTTCAAGGATAGAGAACATGGTCCCAATAAAACCAACGTCATTTACATCAATATAAATATAATATTATATCAATATAAATAGGTTAGGGTTATGTTATGGGTAAGGATAGGGTTAGGGTTAGGCACATTCGTGTTTTATTGGGACCCATGTTCTCTATCCTTGGGCCGCTACAGCACACACGCCACCATTGACTATATATATACTACATGGTGCCTAACTCGCCGTTTTCAATCAGTTACAACTCCAGTGTTCCTGCAAGTGACTATTGTTGGAATCGCGGAAGACTGCTGAACAATCTACACCCGCCATTTTTGACAATCGGCCCGCCACAATTAGGGGTGCAACGAATCACAACTTCACGGTTCGGTTCGGTTTTCGGTTTTCACACTTCGGTTCGGTTATTTTCGGTTCGAATATTTGCGATCAATTACAAATCTTTAAACACCAAACAGAAGTGCAAATTTAATAATCAGACTGGTTTATAAATATTAAATAATAATGTCACTAAAATTCTTTGAACAACCCAAATGTTAGGGCAAATTCAACAAAACCTTTGTACAGGAAATTCAAATATTTGACTTCAGTAAAAGTAACCAAATAGGCAAATATGTCCAATAGTCCATCTCAGTGTCTTGTACTTCATTGATTAGGTGTAAGAAACACAATCCCAATTATTTTGCAGACAAAAATGAATGCTTTGACGCTCTCGTGGCATGTAGCAAGTGGTCTATCAATGTTATCTGCTCGCTGATTGGCCGAGAGTTTACGACCAGCCGAATCGCAGTGCGCGTATTTCAAAAGCGTATATATCGGGTATATATAAAATGTGGAAACGAAACGCGAGCCGAAAACGGAACGACGCTTCGAATATCCGAATGGTGGCGCAAAAAACGCGGTTTTCGGTTAACAGCGGTTAACCGTTACAACCCCTAGCCACAATGCGCTCAAATCACAGAAATTCCTCAAATATACATGCGAAATGATACTTCGCATGCTACTATGAAGAAGGCGGCAGGGCCGGCTGCGCTGATTGGTTGCAGCAACTGCCAGCAAGTCATTTGCGTAGTTTGCCGCAGCCATGCCAATCAGCGCAGCGGGCCCTGCCGCCTTCTTCATATGTAGCATGCGAAGTATCATTTCGCATGTATATTTGAGGAATTTCTAGGATTTGAGCACATTGTGGCGGGCCGATTGTCAAAAATGGCGGGTGTAGCTTGTTCAGCAGTCTTCCGCGATTCCACGATAGTTGGAAAGTGGCGTCACCTGCAGGAACACCGGAGTTGTAACTGATTGAAACGGTGAGTTGTGTCTGTGCGCGGCGGCGAGTTAGGCACCATGTAGTATATATATAGTCAATGGCGGCGTATGTGCTGTAGCTGGTGCAGACTTGTTCTTGCTGCCAGTGGTTTGCTGGTGCGTTTTCAGAGTATAAGTTATAACTTCTAAACTGGATTTATTCTCAACACAAACCTTTTTCCACTATCCTGGAACTTACTATGTATCACAATACTCTGTATTAAAGGAATAATAGGTCCATTGATTATGCAATGTTGACAAATGCTAGAGTAACTGGCACCTTGTGTAGTTAATAAGTACGTAACCTTATAGCCTACGCGTATTAGTTTGTTCAATATCACTGCTGGTTACATTACAAGCAAGACTGAAATCGGTTGTTGATATTCATTTACGTGCCGTAAATGTCATCCAGGAGTCAAGCGATAAGTCGCCGATGACGTAAACATTTGTGCGGCCGCGTATGTTTTGGACGCCAGATGAAATGGAGGTGTCAGCGGTGTAACCACGGCCATGGACTAAACATGGAAATGGAGTAAAACACACGTACTAATCACGGACGCACATGGACAGCCCTGACAAAAAGTTCCTTATCACGAGCGTCCGTGTTTACGAAATCACTGATGATAGCATTGCGTACGCCGAGCATGCGTGCGAAAATGTCCGGTGCACTATAAATCTGTATCACACGCCCAGCGGTTTGAAACTGCATGGAAACTGTAAACAACTCAGTCAACTGATTTCTTGGACTGCGGATTTCAATTAGACATTTATTAGTAACCAGCAGTGATATTGGACAAACTAATATGCGTTTGGCTATAAGGTAATGTACTTATTAACTACACAAGGTGCCAGTTACTCTAGCATTTGTCAACATTGCATAATCAATGGACCTATTATTCCTTTAAACTAATATAACGTGTTACAAAAATTCGAAGCGACGAGCGGCGATTCTTCTAGCGCCATTTCTGTTGACCTGTGATGTACGCATTCCCAATGCGCATAGCGTTCGGCTAACTTCATCATGACGTCACGACAGTGACAGACTGTGATTCACTCAGGGGTTCCTCTACACAAAAGGATAGGCTCGCGTTGTAACCCTATCTTGTGTTTGGGTTACATTATTGTATTTAGTGGAGTATAGCTCTAGTACTATAGCCCGCGTACAGTTGCCGCTGGCCACTGTACTTGCCAGCGGCAACTGTACGCGGGCTATAGTACTAGAGCTAAGTGGAGTAGTGCTACTGCCTGGTGACTGGTGTTACCATTACAGTCTGAGTATCATTATATGAGATGACCATAAACATACATAATATATATGATGTCATAAGTGAGTGCTTTTGTTCTTAACAGAATTGTTAGAATAATGATTAATGAGGAGTTGTTTTGGCATTCACAGATTTAGTCATGTTTGCGCAGCAGTCGGAGATAAAGAAGATAGAGTTTCTTGAACATGCTAAGCAGGCACGGGAGGGGCGAGCCAGCGAGAAGAAGCGTGACGATTCTAGTGTCGTCATACAGGTGAAACACGGTTTGTTTACAGCTGTAAATATGTTGGTCTAAAGAATAGTCAGAATTTGAAATTTTGTGCTGCGAGTAACTGCGCATGCTCTGCGTGAACTACCGGGCAAAATCTATTGATAATAATAATGAACCATGTGTTTGTGGCCAAAGCATTGCTAAATTGAACAAAGTGTGCTGTAAGCTCATAAATTAAAAAAAACTTCCAGACAAGGTCCTATAAATTCTTGGTGGGTGGGGGGCTCTAACCCAAACTCACAACATAACATCATAATACAACATAATAAGGATTTCTGTAAAAAACTGAAAGCATGAAAAATCTTCTCGTATAGGCATGTGTCCGTGGTTTCCTGACCAGACGACGCTTGCATAATGATGTGCGACAGCTGTTTGATTCAACCATGTATGCATGCAATAACACGGACAAGAAACTAATGCTAGAACCAGGTATCAATTTGTCTTATCATATGAATTGGTGAAGTTTGTATAGGCCATAATTGAGATGTAAATTAACCAATCATAGTTTCTGGGAGCCATAGTGCTACTCTGTAGCAGTAATAGTTAACTGTTTGCACTTTACTCATTTCAGCAATGGACATCTACAGACTGATAAAGAAGTTTCTGTTTGTGTATGATGAAAAGCGTGATATAGAGGTAAGAAACTGCTTCTCCTGATGTAGTCATAGTGGTTATGTGCTATTATTTATCGGTGACTTATATTCGCATAGAGTGATAGGCCCCACTGATCTGTACTGAACTGAAATGAAAATTTTATCTGACATTTTTTAGTAAAACCTTTCATCCCAATTGAGAGTTAAGAATTTGATAATGGTAAAAATTAAACAAAATAATTGCATGAATTATATGTACCCAGGGCCGACAATAGTACATTTGGTTGTATTTTGTATATTACCATTATCATCCTCAGAGACTGGAGCTCCTGTGTCGGTACCTGGTGGTGAGCATGGAGTCAGACAATGCAAAGGATTGCTACGTGTCTGTGGCACTGAATAAAGAGCATGTGTTGTGCTGGATTAGACAGCTAAAGTGCCTGCTGTGGCTTTGTTGTCAACAACTCAACACTCTAAAGGTATAATAAGATGCAAAGTGTGAACCAACATGTTGCTTATATTGATATAAATTTAACATTACCTAAAGGCACCCAAGTGTTTACTAGTGGTAGTCAGAGTGCCTACTGTCGGGGTCTGTGCATATGGTGGGAAGCCCTGTGTGCATACTGACAAGAGTTGGGTATGGTTACATTTGTGTGTACTGAACTTGTTTCGATATTCAAACTTCTAGCCCGACAATCCGAATAGTGCCAAGTCCATCAACCTCTACCTACATGTACTGGTCACATTTACAAGCACTTCTAACTGGAAGCTACTACGGACAAAGTCTATGGAACCGCTGCGGCCTAGCATGAACCAGCTGTGTAATAATGTGATGGGGTACCTACACCAACAGGGAATGTACTCTGTACTGCAGGTATATATTATATCACCAGTGGCGGATCCAGGGGGGCAAAGGGGCCGGTTGCCCCCCTAGAATTTTCAGGGCAAGGGTATTTTAGCCTAACACCCTGCCCTTCGGGCGCTTTGTGCCCTTGAGCTCGCATGATTTGCCCCCCCCCCCAGCACGATTTGCCCCCCCCCCCTTCCCAGAATTCACTTCTGGATCTGCCAGTGGTCACCTTTCCTCTGTATTAAAATAATCTGTGCTGTACCCTGTACTAACTATAATATTGTTATATATCACTGATTGTAAATATTGTATTATATTTACTAGTTTTTTTTGTAGTGATTATATTCTGCATACTTGCTTCTGTATGTGAGTTCGTTTTCAAGTAATCTACAATGTTACTAAATTTACTGCTGCATGATAATGTTATTCATTCATTCATTCATAATAACCATATCATTATTCATATATTTATGTCTTTTATATGTTATAGGAGCTGTTAAGTAAGGGATTGGCAAGATGTAAGCCATGTCTAAAGCATGCAACTCTGTCTGCTATCATAACTCTGGCACTCAGGTATGGCCAGTTGAACGTTGTATTTTTCTAGCTATAGGATCACATGTCTACATAGCAGATAAAAATATAGTGAACGCCAGTTGAGTTCAGATGCTAGTAACTACATGCACACGTGGTTAAGGTAGATTTGTGTTATGTTACAGACCTCTGGTTGCAGCTAGTTTGTCTGACAATCTGATCAGTCTGTTTGTTCTTCACATTCTGTCGGTGCCAGCTGTGGTTCAGCACCTCTCCACAACAGCACCAGAGGTAACAACACACAAGCGTGGTTCACACCTGCAGTGCTAAGCTTAGTCTGGCTGGCCAGACTACATCAAGCCCTCGCCCTACCCTTATTCTCATTCTTACTCACATTCTAACAGCGCATACAGCTGTATGTGATCATTCTCAACTGAGTGATATTGATCGTGTTTGGGTAAATTTTAGAGATACTGTTTTATTTTATTGCTTACTTGGAACTGAAAAATTGCAGTGATAAAGCTTGAATCGTTATCTGTGTGTGTGCGTGCGTGTGTGCGTGCGTGATGTAGCGCCATCAAATATTGGAGCAAGCACTGGTGAATCATGTATTGATTGCTATTTCAGTGCCTTGCTGTCTTCATGTCCAATGGTCTGTTTAAGAAAAGTTTGGAGCTGCTGATATCAGAACAGAGCACACGTATCGTATTCAATTCACTAGAGGGGAATTATGCTCTTTGCTTACTAGGTAATTGTACTTCGAGCGTAATGATGAAGAGTTTGTGTTTCTGATATTTCATCCTGTGCTTGTGTCACTCTCATGTCGTCTATGATACAGCTATAAGTAGACACTTTTTCACAAAGTAACGTTTACGTAAATAGACGTTTAGAGTTTAGTGATAAACTCGCTAACAACAAGTTTTGGTATGTTTTCTCATACCGTCTCTTCTAACTATGTGTGCTTACGAACCTATTTAATTTCTTTAATAAACTGATGATTTCTTAGATTGATTCTTTGTCAAGGTGATGGTTTGTGATGTCATATCATTTTTGACTCTTTGTATTCATTAGGTAACATCATACAGCTGGCGGATATAGAGAAAGAACAACTTCCTACAGTACTCGTTGAGTTTACTGTGGTTGTGAGTCGTTTGTTGGAGCGCTGCCAGAAGTACGTCGTCAACAAGAGATCTAACCTCACCCACTGGCACCCTGTACTTGGCTGGTTCTCACAGAAAACCGACATCAGGTCTGTCTCCTCTATGCTAGCTCATCTTCTAGTACTCGGTGAACAGAATTAGTGAGCTGTCCCTAACCCGGGGGGGGGGGGGGTGTCACTCCATATATGTTGCATGGTAGGTATGGGCTGCGGGAGAGACCCCCATTTTCAACCCTAAACTTCCGTTCCAGTGCATTGCATTTTTAAGAATATCTCGTTCCACAGCATCACAAGTTTAGTTACCATGCAGATCTAAATTTCCCGTTCCGGAGACCCTAGTTTTTAAGGCACCCCTGTGCCACTGGTCATGGTGGTGGCCGTTGTTATCGTATCTGGAGCATTTTGGCCTTATTTTGGCCATTTTGCCAGGTTAGCTTTGTCAATTTGATCGTTCTGTATTTTGTTCCAGAGCATCCCACATTCAACAAATATTAGTTTCAGAGACCTCCATTTTCAGGTCTGAGTTAGTTCCAGAGCCCCCCATTTTTAGCTCGCCTTGACATCGTCAAGATGAGCTATTGTTATGGGGTGTCGTACGTCCGTCCGTCCGTCCTTCCACATTTGGCTACGGTCAACGATAACTCAAGAACCGTTTGACCCACATGTTTCAAATTGCATATAGTTGTTACCAAGAGCGTATAAAGGAGAGTGTACAACGGTGAAATGCTGAAACCATGTTGCAGTATTAGTCGAATTAAGAAACTTTGCCCATTTTATATTGATCATCTGTCCTACCTTGCTAATAGTGAGCTTTCGTTTTGCACGACGGCTCGTTCTACGACGGATAAAAACCTGTGACCATACCGTCGGGCGTGCTGAGCGTCCGTCCTGCGGTAACTCGTTTCGATTTTCACGACGGCGACAAATTGGCCAATTTGATCACATGACCTTTTGTTTTGATCGCGCGTATCTTAAAAATGGCGAATCTTCACCGGTTATGTCATTGTTACGTTTTGAATCTTAAAAATGTCAGTAACACTAACTGTAGATGTAATACTATAGACCTTTAGTATTATCTTAGTAAAAGACCATCATTAATCCACGCCTGATTATGATTTGATTTCAACATGGGCTGTCACCACCAAATAGTGGAAACTTACGGAATGCATACTCTCTCTCATTATTGTGTCGCTTGCTTCAAAAGTTTGTGTCATCAAGTCATACAAATATACAATACATCAAAATGGCAAAGTATCCGTCAAAGTATGTCAAAGTATCCGTCGATGACCATGCGCATGACCAGACGCATGCGCACCAGGCACAGCCTGGCTATACGTCGTCGTTCTCGGCACGACGGTGATTTACCCCGAGAACCGTCGTAGAATCCTCAGGACGGATGGTACAGCAAGATCCGAGCATGCGCAGATGGTCCCAGTGTGGTTTTCACTGTCGTAGAATGATCCGTCGTGCAAAACGAAAGCTCGCTAATATAAAACAAACCGCTTGTCCCTACGATGAGATAATGAGCGGTGAAAATCTGGTATTTTCGCCGAAAACCGACTCGAGATCACACGGATCCGATCGATCCCCTCGGGGTCCCTAACCCTGTGCCATCATTGCAGGTTACACGAGGCACTGCCCCACGTTGTGAAGCAACTGAGTCTACTGTGGAGTCACAACATACTAAGAATCCTGTTTGCTGAGCTACTGGCCATCGAATCTCCCCCACACACCCCTACTTCTCCACTCCTCCCCATCACCGAGGAGCAGCATTCCAACAAAACGCGAGGTAAACATTGTAGTATATGTAGAGAGCTCGGTGTCAGACTACAAGTATCTCTGGCCAACATGACTACATGCTAATCCTATCAAGGGCTCATATTCTCCCCAACCGTTGGGTTATAATCGTATCAGTGTACACTGGCTGCCTAGCACAATCATGCTGCACTATGAACTGCATGAAGCTCACAACAGCCACACACGGGGCGGATCTAGCTTTCAGGAGATGGGGGGGGGTGTGATATTTGAATGAAGGTGTGCCGAAGGCACGTGTTGCTAGGGTGGTCCAGGGGCGTGCACCCGTCCCACCTGGAAAATTCAGGCAGCTGTGTAGTCAGAGGGGAAATCCCCAGTTTCTATCATCCTGCAGACTGCTTTTTTTATTTTTGGCCCTATTTAACTAGTATCATAACATTAGTCAGTGGCTGAACTGATCCGCCACTGCCACGCGCGTATTTACGGCAAAGTTAGCATGCTCTCGTGTGTATCTCTCGCAGACATCTTTCGTAAAGCATTTACGGTGAAGCAAAATGGACCCAAGGCTAGAAAACAGGAGCAGAATGAGTCGGTGATTGTCACCCTGGTCTGCACGCTGTACCAGACAGCCCTCAGCACTCTCACTCAGCTGAGATTGAACATACTCACAGGTAAAATACATCACTGGTAAATGACCACTTGCTAGTAAACATCGACGTGACTAAGTCTGAAAGAATAAGCCACGAGTGAGCTCAGTCATTTATGCCTACAGGGTTCTCTAAGCCTTTTCATTATAGCATGGTGGGTGCTGCCTTTACGGTCCTAGTTGCAAATCGACGAAGGCGGTTTGCATGCTAGGGGGGTCCGGGGGCTATGATATTTAGCATGGCGGCTATGATATTTAGAGTGGCGGGTGCATTTTAGGATGGTGGGGCTCGACGATAGCTCGGCGGGCCGCCAGGCTATAAGTGCTCTTGGAGAACCCTGGCCTAATATGATGCTAATAATCGACAAAATGTGTGTGTCAGTAGTTATTTGCTTTGTATTGTATGCCGGCCTCTGTGTAGCGTGTCTGAATACGCATTTCGTGTATTGGCCACTGGGAGGTGGATGTCTGTTTGTGTGTATGCCAGTTATCGAGTGTATATTTGTGCGTGCGTGCGTGACTGTGTATGTTTCAGGTATTGGCCACTAGTGGGGTGTATGTGAGTGTTTGTGTGTGTTCTAGGTATCAGTCACCACGAGTCATTACTGCCTAAGCTGTGGTACTACATTCATACACATGTGCGACTGAAGACTCTGCTAGAACAACTTAGTGGCAACTCCAGTTCATCACTGCCTGACTGCCAGGTGGTAATCCTATTCTGTGACTGCACCAGTCACCTGATAACGTAAGTGTGCTTGCTTGTTTGTGTAACATGTTTCATATTCGCATGACAGCTGTGGTTGATATCTCAAGGCGCAAGTTAATATTATAGAAACGTGTCTGATATGTTTGATGTATAACAGTAAACATGTGGTTAATGACATTATAGGTAGATTGGTATCGCAAGGAGGGTGACATGTGGAGAGTGTGTTGACATACATCAGCTGCGCGGTATTTCTATTTGCAGGATACTGGATGATGTCGAGATGTATGATCAACAGAGACCTTTTACACTGCAGAATCTTGTTGACATGGGTGCCTTCTTCAACCAACTCATCTTCCGTCTCGTCTGGAACAACATTATTGGTAAGGTTCGTTTACTATATATGATAGTATGCTGTTAGATTGACATGTGTTCTTTGGGTGACCTCTATATTCTGGTTGCTATGTTTATGCCATAAAGAAGGTTTATATTAGAAGCATTAAAAGTAAACAACCCCTGAAGTTTAGGTAAAAGTGCTCTTTAGGAAATTATGTTGTGAAAAATTGTGAAATACTCCTAGCAATATTTCCTTCATTTTTTTGCAGTTGATCAGTACTTGCACAGTAATGATTAATTTTGATCATACGAAGTTCTAATACGTGTAATGTCTCAAATATCTGAAATAGGATGCTTTATTACCTTCCATGCACGTTGGTATATATCTTGTTGCCAAACTAACTGAGTACCATGATATTTGTTGCAGATGTGAAGGTGGTGGCTGTACACAGCCTGTTCATAGCCGCACACACTCTAACATCACTGCTGTATGAGAGAGACTGTAGAAGACCATATGCTCCGAAGAACCACTGGCTCATCAAGTGAGTACATAGTTTAAGTTAATAAACTGCTGAAAGTCTATACATGCCTAGTTAAACTCATGCAGATCCTGGCATCTGTCATCGTGTCTCATAACGTGGAGTAGCAGCTAATGTTGTTTTTAGGTCATAAAGCCTGGGACATCATATGAGCTTGATTAACACTGATGAATCTTGTGTAACATGTAATGTGTTGTTATAGGGACACATAGCCTGGGACATTGTGGTATGAGCTTGATTAACACTGATGGGTCTTGTGTAATGTGTTGTGTGTTGTTATAGGGACACGAAGCCTGGGACATTGCTGGCTGAGCTGGAGAAGGGCAAGAAGACAGCAAGTCTTCTTCTACAGAAAACGCCTTTCATAATCCCACATAAGGAGGTACTCTAGATCAATATTGAAACCAACTGTTAGCACGAGAGCCATGGATAATGTTTAGAGCATAAATTTACCCATTCAACTTCAATTCCTAGATGTTTACAGTTTTCTCTTTCCTTGAATGTTCTTTTTCTTTTCGTGGTAGTGAAAGCAATAGCTATGTATATACACTTTAATATAAATAAATATATATATCAAGAGTACATAATAGAGATACATATCTCCTATTATCTACTCTTGATATATATATATATATATATGGTTTCATATATTATAATGTTTATTATATGGGTAATATATATTCGTACCTGCTTGCAGAGGGTAATGCTGTTCCGTAAAGCTGTTGGTGCAGAGAGAACAGCGATGGGGTTGACTGAGTCCGTGTTCACCTCACCACAGTCGACGCTCATCTCTATCCATCGATCACGTATCATTGAGGTGAGCTGGTCTTCTCTTCAGTGAGTGCATGTTGTGCAGTAACTCGACCCTATCATTTTATACTAAATGGTTGGTATGTACGTGGGTTGGATCGGTAGTTAGTTGGGTGGGTGGGGGTCACTGCGGTGGGTGTGCTGTTAGTTGGGTGGGTGCATGGGTACAGTTAGTATGACTTCAATGAGTCACTTGAGCAATTACAAATTATGAAACAGTTGGCTAAGCGCACACTCATGCCACATATTCATGGTTCAAACTGTGACATTGGCATTATTCGGTAATTTCTATTATCTCCTCAATCTCGATAACTTTGAGAACACATACATGGAAGATAACAATTATATATTGTTGGTACTTTTTTGCAGGATGGGTACAGGCAGCTAGCCGCAATTCCAGCACAGGCTCTTAAGGGTGTCATCCGGGTAAAGTTCGTCAATGAACAGGTAAAATAAACACTGCTGTGAAACGCTTATGAACTGAACCGATAATCAAAATGCTTCACTACACTAATAAACTAAACTGTGTTCTATACCTAAGTGAGAGTCACCGGCTTACGTGCGATACGTGAAAAACTACTTCGATTTCTATGAGCAGAACTGCAGCTGATAAATTTATGATGATTTTAGGATATAATATAATTGTTGTTTAATTGTGGGTTGTACATTCGTCGTTCATTGATTGTGGTTTTACATGTAGGGACTAGATGAAGCTGGTATTGATCAAGATGGTGTCTTCAAGGAGTTTCTTGAAGAGACCATTAAGAAAGTCTTTGACCCATCTTTGAACCTGTTTAAGGTACTATCTTTAATTGTATCCCCCGCGACAAAGTCGGCGGCAATACTATGGTTTCACGTCTGTCCAGCCACTGCTCGCCGCCGCTCGTCGCCGCTGCAGACACTTTCCCTTCCGCTCTATAACTCGACCCTTAATTGACCTAGCGCGACCAAACTTGGTATACTTACACATCTTGGGGAGATGAGTTGTGTAACAAACCTTTGTCTTTGTGACTTATTTCACTTTACCTACCTTGTACGTCCTTACGGAGATATTTCATTCATACTAGATCGCGGGGGATACATGTAGTTGGCGACAACTGCCATTTCTAGTTAGTTATGGGGACTAGTATTACTCTTAGATAATTAATAGTTATTTCAAGATGACATTTCTTTTCCATTTTTTAGATGACCAGTGAGATGAGACTCTACCCATCTCCTACCTCCAGTATCCATGACAACCATCTTCATCTTTTTGAATTTGTTGGTAGGATGCTGGGGAAAGCGGTGTATGAGGTTTGTAACGATATCCAAGATAGTGTAGCATTACTCATCCCATTGATGATTTTGAACATGTATTTATTATGATGTGTGCATGGCATAGTTACTACTATAAGGCTCTACTGTTTTCAGGGTATTGTGGTTGAAGTTCCATTCGCCCCGTTTTTCCTGAGTCATGTTCTGGGCCACCACCACAGCTCTCGCTACAGCAGCATAGATGAGTTGCCTTCACTGGACCCAGAACTGTACAAGAACCTGACCTACGTCAAGGCAAGTCTTAATTTCCTCACAGCTCGAACTCATGCGTTCTATCGCAGGGTTGTCACGAAGAAGTTATTGCCGGGTAAATTGATCGAGTGTAAATCTCATTGTAGATTTTGATGCGAAGACGTTTTGCTGTAGGGGATGCCCTAGAGAGAGAGAGAGAGAGAGAGAGTGCAGGACGTCAGTCGTGTACAGCATGTTAACGCTCATGTTCACTTGCAGCATTACGACGGTGATGTCACTGACCTAGAGCTGACCTTCTCGTGTGATGAGGATGTGATGGGTAAGGTGGTGAACCATGAGCTGGTTCCTGGCGGCAAGGCCATCGCAGTGACGAAAGAGAACATGTAAGCATCACACGTGTTGATAACGCTGAGTAAAGCCTCTCGTGTCTACCAAATAAGCTTCACGATTCAGCTACATTTATTGTAGTAATCGTATGTGATCATGATTATCAGAAATAAATGATGATCATGTGGATGACTATTATTATTATTATTATTATTATTATTACTACTACTATTATCATTATAATAATAATTATTATTATTAGTTCTGATGAATTATATGCTCTGAGAGGGAAAGCTAATAACATGATCTTTCTCTATATTTGCAGCATTTCGTATGTGCACATGATGGCTCACTTCCGCATGTACACCCAGATAAAGGACCAGACGAATGCATTCATACGTGGGTTCCGCTCTATCATCAATCCTGACTGGCTGGCACTGTTCTCTCGGGCTCCAGAATTGCAATGCTTGATCTCGGGCGATACAATGGCGATCGACTTGCATGACCTCAGGTGAGCGGCACAGTGCTGCCCTCTGCCATCTTATAATGCTAAAAATCTCTATTGTAAAGCCTGCAGTGCCTCACGAATGCTATTTATATCACTGTTGTAAATTTACCAAAAGATAGCTAATAGTGATTAGATGAACCATTAGTAATTGTATGTAATATTAGGTGTTTTTTTGCATCACTGTTTGAATTGGCTGTACAAGTGAGTTTTTAGCTCATCTGACATAGTCAGATGCAGCTTGTAGAATCGCATGATCGTCCGTCCGTGCGAGCGTCCGTCCGCAACAGTTGGGCACAAATCTTAACCGCTCGACGTATGGTCACGATATTCGGGACATTGGGGGGAATCGTCAAAACGAGTTGGGATGTTGAAGCTGGGGGTCAAAGGTCAAAGGTCAAGAGGTGTAAAAGAAGGGGGAACATTCCCTCCTTAACTTAAGGTATAGGGAGGAAATGCAGAATTGCAGCACAAATCTAAACGGCTCGACCTACGCTCGTGATAGTCGGTGTATAGCATGATGGTAGGAAAAGCCATCACTGTGCCGAAATTGGAGGTCACAGGTCAAAGGTCAATGGGGCACAGGGAAGATTTTAGACATTTTCTGAGGACATGGTCTGACGGAGCGATTCAAAAACTTTTTGGTTTCAGCTGTGACCTAGCATTTTTATGGCTTTATTGAAAGGACCATGAAATGTACTTTTGCTGACATGCGAAGAGTAAGTGTCGGATAACCTTTTGACCTCAAGAGGAGGGTTAAACATGGATTTGTTGACTGTTCAACAAGGAGCTGAACTGCTTTTGCCATTGGTGATGTGAGGCTAGCGTTGTAAGTTCAATTGCAAAGGCAAACTGTTTGTTGAACAAGGTTTACGCTCTTAAATCATATGATTTTCTAAAGCAGTCTGTATTAGCAACCTGAGTAGCACCTGTAATAGCAGACTGTAATGAACCGCTGAATGCTCGTGTGTGTAGGCAAAAACATGGGGGCAGCCACTTACGCATGCATGGGGGGTGAACTGCAACTATTCTAATCATAATTATTGCCTGGCAACCTGCAATGCAGATGATGTTAACTCACAGCTGAGCGAAATTCTCGCCTGCCTGAATATACTTGGATTTCAGACAACTCAATGGAGTGAGGTTATCACGCACGAGGGTGATGCCATCTTTGATTATTGATGACACTTGCACGCGCCATCTCGCGGCAACTGCTTTTTGCTATTAGAGCCCCTTCCACCGCGCCTCCCCCACTCTCCCCGCACCAACCACCACCCTACGATCGCGCTCGGCGCATATCCATGATAACATGTTAATATAGCGAAGTCATTAAAGTTACACAGCTGTATTTTATTACTGTACTACCGGTATAGCAAAGCCTAGCTATCATAGATTGTAGATCTGTATTAGTAGTATCCTAGATATATGCTCTGAGCGCGAACGCGGTGATGGGAGGGTGCTCTTCATTCGTTTGCCAGTGAGTTTAGCATCAGAACACCTGCCGTCAGGTGAGCGCTGTCGCTCTGCGGCACTTGTTCGATTTCATGGCCATTGGTTGATGTTATAGAGCTCACACTCAGTATTACGGAGGCTTTCACAACAACCATCGAGTCATTGTGTGGCTGTGGGATGTGCTGGACCATGATTTCACTGCTGAGGAGCGAGGCCAGTTCTTGAAGGTGGGATATTGCCATCGAGTAATATTCTCACGTGATTTTAACTTTAGTCCTAATATGTACAACAGTAATGTCAATGAGTGTCTTGGTTCAATTGATCACAGTAGGGCTATGAATTTAAATTGTAACACACAGTAGAGATTTGCTTTCGAAGGCAAAATGTGTTATTAATCCTTTTTTTCGCCATTCGTGTATTCTAGTTTGTGACAAGCTGCTCAAAGGCCCCTCTGCTTGGATTTTCGAATCTAGAGCCACCATTTTCCATTCGCTGTGTAGAGGTGAGTTCGCTGTCTGGAACTCAAGTTTGATGTTGAGAACTAACAAAAAACAGAGAAACATGTAGTAGGAAACAGATGTTGAAACTTGTCGAAGATGTTAAATACTATGTTAGCATAATCTTCCAGACCAATACTTTAGTTGTTAACACCCTGAAAATGCGAGTGAATAGTAAAATAAAGTAGGTTCAGATACAAAGCCTGCAGAGTAGAACTGGCAAGCTAGCTGCAATGCTACGTTGTCACAAAAGCCAGCATCGGCAGGACAAAGAACATCACTAGTTAAAGAGCGGTTTGGTTTTCGCAGGTGAGTGACGATCAGGACACAGGTGACACCGTCGGCTCCGTTCTGCGCGGTTTGTTCTCCATACGCAAGAAGGACCCTGTTGGCAGGCTGCCAACGTCCTCCACCTGCTTCAACCTGTTGAAGCTACCCAACTACCAGCGGAAATCGACACTGAGAGATAAGCTACGTTATGCTATCACTAGCAACACAGGGTTCGAACTGTCGTAGACTCGACGAGATGCGCCGCCATCTACAGCTATTTTAATTATTATTTTGTGTAATTTGTATTTATTTTTTTGTGTATAGTAGTAATAATATATTTGACACACCTGTAGGTGGTGAGTTGTTGGGATAGCAAAGCAGGCAATAGGGAGACCGTTTTCACTATGGAAGGCTGCAGTGATTGTACCAGTAGCTGAAGCCACTTTCTTTTTCATCAATATCATATCTGGCGCATGACAACGAGAGAGCCTATGGTGTTATAGTAGCTGTCTGTATGATCCATGTTGCCTTAATTTAATATATCCACACATGACGTTGTGGTTTATGTACTACTTGGTATGACATTACCCACTTTTATCTCCATTTTCGATATAATCATGACCCTCTGATGACGTATCGATGATGATTATATTTATAGGAAGGAAATTTGTGGTTTGAAGCTCCTGTTCAAAAGTCAACACTTCTGCATCATAATATTAAGTGCTATTGCTTTAACTGTGCAGGAATATATGTGGTCTGTGGAATAAGTTATGGTTTATAAGGAGATTTGCGTAATGAAACTATAAAACATCTTAGAGCACAAGTAAATATTAAAGGAGTATGTAATTCATAAGTGCTGCAAGAACGTAGGAAGGATGGAAACGTGGTTGACATTGATTTAAAGGTTGTAGTAGCCTCATTAGATTTCCATAATATGTGTTACCTCAGTTTATTGAAATGAGGACCTTCTGTCAAAAATCATTGTAACGCCATGGCATTACCATTTATAATAAAATTTCCCTCTGTATTAAACAGTGGGGATTGTAATTACCTCTGCTTCGTAAAATACCCAGGAAATTGCAACCAGTCCAAGTATCCTTGTTGAATCCAATTTAGCTATGTCCAAGTTAATTGTGTGGTAGACAGAGGATTCTGAAGCTATTTCTAGTTTGTGTAACATCAATGTACTTACTATTCATCAACATTACTAACATGAATTTATTGGGAGTGCCGAATATTGCAGTCACTGCATGGTTTGTGCACAGTATAACAGCCATTGCATTGGTTGTGCACAGTATAACAGCCACTGCATTGGTTGTGCACAGTATAACAGCCACTGCATTGGCTGTGCACAGTATAACAGCCACTGCATTGGTTGTGCACAGTATTACAGTCACTGCATTGTTTGTGCACAGTATTACAGTCACTGCATTGTTTGTGCACAGTATTACAGTCACTGCATTGTTTGTGCACAGTATTACAGCCACTGCATCGTTTGTGCATTGCATTGTACGATATTAATTTTGATGCATGTTTTGTGCACATTACCAATGTGGATGTACTGTTGCGAACAATAATAATTTGAATGTACCGTGCCATTTTGTGCACATGATTATCGTCAGTGTACTGTTTGGGCACAATATTAATGCGAACGTACTGTTTGTGCACATTAATAACATTAATGTACTGTTTTGTGCCCATTATTAATCTCAATGCACCGTTTTGTTCACATCATTAATGTGAATGTACTGTTTGTGCACTAGAGTTATGAGTCGTATTGCTAGCAGTGTCTACATCAGCCCCACATCAGCACTGTTGCTATCATGCTATGCGCACTATTAACCATGTTAACATTAATGTGCTATATGTACGCCATTGCATGCTTCCATTGCCCCGCATGATGTTCATTCTGAGCTGCAAACCTGAGCATATTGTGTGGCATAAACGCGATCTTCGTAAGTGTACTGCACTACCATTTTACTATGAGCGTGGAGTAGTATGGTCGCCATGGACTATGCTAAAACATAATATAGTATACATAAGGTAATTATTCTACTATATCGACACTATTAACATGAGTGTATTAGGCTGCAACTACTGTCCCCATTCTACTCTATCACTCAACAATATTACCGATGATGTACTGCACTACAAATATTGCCTCCATTTAACTCTATCCCTTAACAGTATTAACATAAATGTACTCCTTTACAAATATTACCACCATTCTACTCTATCACTCAACAATATTACCGACGATATACTGCACTACAAATATTGCCTCCATTTAACTCTATAACAGTATTAACATTAATGTAGCCTACTCCATTACAAATATTATCACCATTCTACTATATCAGTCAACAGTATTAACACCAATGTACTCTGCTACATATATTGCCACCATTACTACCAAGCAACGCTACCAACATCTACTACATTAGAAAAAATTCTGTCATTGTATTGCATAAGATTTATTTTGATTATTGTAATTTATGTTGCCAATGTCAATTTTATATTGTTATATTAGTTAAACACCAAAGCTTCGGCTTTTGTGTTGGTAGTTGTTATGTTATTGAGCTGCTATTTGTGTATATGTTGTAAAATAAATAATATTATGCCACAATATTGACACTTTAGCAGTTTTCGTGCTAGATAAAAAAAAATGTTACAAATACTATAAAAGCATGCGGATATGGAGGCTGTCATATTGAACCCGTTTCTATAGACGGGTTTCTTAATTCTCTACTTTGTTCACCTTTTACTCACGAAGAGACAAGACACCTATTTATTCGCGGTCAGAGTCTAAGCAACCCCTCAGGAGTTTCGCCCGGTTGTGTAATTATAGTGGCACTAAAGGGTGACCGCTACAGAAAAATAGGCGTTAATTGCTTAACCGTGTGTTCTGTAGGGTTTGGATCATTTTTCTCTCCTCTATGCAGGACGGCGATAGAGTAGCTTGTAGTTGGACACCAGAGTGAAATACAATCCCGGTGATATGGATTATATATAATGGAATAACCTATTGCTCACCACTCAGACATAATACATAATAATATCAGGAATATAATGGTCGCACTTCTTACCCGTCTTTATCTATATAGACGTTATATCGGCTATAGTTTACGGTGTGCGTTCGAATAGAACTATAATATATTTGATTACTACTTCGGCATTATGTGCCGAATTGATATAGATGATTATATTGGCTGCTACAAATCCGTTATAAATTCAATAACTACTAGGTGGTCGCTCCCTTCCTTCTCGTTCTCTTTCTGGCTTGTTCCAACGCGGTGTTTCTCTCTCGTAGGCTGCGTGGCCTCCTCTTCCCCCACATGAAACCCCAAAGGTAATTCCCTCACTTCTCTTTGACCTAACCTGAAACGGTATTTGTTTTTTATTCATTTCCTTTTCCACCCCTCCCTAGAACTTAAAAATGGGCCAAAAAGCGACCGACTTCATCCTTTTTCTTTTTCTTCTTTTCCCTACCTGAAAAGTGAGCCACATGCGACTCTGCTTCCTTCCTTTCTCTTTCCCAAACTTGAAAAATTAGGCAAAAGCTACTTCTATGATTCTTTGTCTTCTTCTTCTTCTTCTTCTTCTTCTTCTTCTTCTTCTTCTTCTGCTCCTTCTTCTTCGTTCTTTGCTAAATCTGAAAAGTGAGCCAAAGGCATAAGCGTGTTGAAACTAAAAAGTCAGCATATTATCAGGAGTAAGATAATATAGGATCCTATATTATCTTGCTCCTGATATTATTAATTCGTATGCGACCAATCACTATCAATGACAACCATAGCCACGCGTTCGCCGATACTCCATGTAAGTAAACCACATGTCAGCGCCAAAAACGTAGGGCGTGAGAGGCTTATAACAACGGGGCACGCGCCGAGCCGTAGTCTAGCTGCGGGTGGGGGGGGGGGTCAGTTGACCCCACCAGGCAATTGTAGATAGTAATATTACATGGTCAAGAGCCAACAGCGACCTGCCCACAGTCAACTACCTATAGAGCACAACATACGCGAGGCTTGCCCCTCCCCCCAGTCAAAATGAGTTATATCTACGCCCGTAACGGGCACATTTAAATTATTACAGTGAAATTATTATTAGAAAAAAGAATTTTCATGGAAAACTACTACTGAGAGGAGAACTGATGCATTCATTCTCAGTTTTACAGGTAAAAGACATGCCATTTCCCAGTTCCTGGCTAATAAGAAATGCAATTTCGGCTTTTCCACGCCCCGGTCAACTTTTGTTCCTAAATCACGAATAATTTATATTGTGTTTACTGTTTCCTGGTCTAATGCCACGTCCCGAAAGTAAACGCCCCCGCCTTCTACTGACCCGTGTGCTCTCTACTTTGAACGTATAATTTCGCCTCGATAATATAACCTTTTTCATAATATTTAAGCTTAAATGCAGGGCCGTAGTGGCCGCCACGGCAGCACGGCACTGCCGTAGCACTATTTAAAAAAAAAATTCTGCAGGGAACCATGGAGCAACATATACCAAGGAGATGAAACCCCGGGGGAGGGGCACTCACCCCACATTATGGTAGGTATGTGCCACTGCAAAATCAAAAATGGGGGGGGGCTCTGAAACTAACTCAGACCTGAAAATGGAAGTCTCTGGAACTAATGTTTTTTGAATGTGGTATACTCTGAAACTGGATATGTTGAAATGGGGGTCTCCGAACTAGATTTCGTTGAAATTCAATGCTGTGACACTGGACACGTTTAAAAGAGGGTGTCTCCGGAACTGTGGGGAGGGGGGGGGGAGACAGTGATTTGCTTTAAAATATATGCTGTAGCACTTGAACCAATAATGTTGTATTATGTAGAGGAGAAAAAACATGACCGGAGAGAGATGAACGCACGCACACGCACGCGCACCCACACGCACACACACACACACACACAACACACACACACACACACACACACACACACATACACACACATCACACAACACACCCACACACACACAACACACACACACACACACACACACCACACACACACAGGCAACACACGCACGCACGCACACACGTTGCATGCATGCCTTGACGGCCCGGCTTCAACGTATTCTGAAGTACGATCCACTGGAACGGAAATATTAAAAACTAGGGTCTCCGGAACGGCAAAAATGTAAGATCTGCATGGTAACTAAACTTAATACTCTGGAACGAGATATTCTTAAAATGCGATGCACTGGAACGGAAGTTTAGGTTAGGGTTGAAAATGGGGGTCTCTCCCGCGGCACATACCTACCATGCAATATATATGGAGTGCCCCGCCCGACCAGTTAAGGCTCAAAATGCAATGGTCATGCATGTGGCACCGAGACATGTTAGACAAGGTAGATGAACAAAATGTAATTTCAGAATTGTAAGTTGCCATCCAGGCAGAAAATATAAAATTGGAATAATAAAAAAATAAAATGACAAGTTATCTGACTGGACTGTCTGGTATTACTGGTAATTACTGGTATTACTGATCAATTAGAGGTGTTATATCAGTGCTCTAAGATTTGGAGTGTGTATTTAATATGACAATATGTGCCTATATATTCAAATTCAAACTTCAAAACATACAGATGTACATAGTGAAAGTATAAATGCAGATTGAAAATAGGCTTATTTTTCATAATTATGTACTGTTAGTATATACAATTTTGTAAACAATGTTTTATTAGTTATCATACTCATAATATATATTTTAGATACTTTAGTCAAAACATCAGCTTTAGCTACATTCCTCTTTGAAATTTACAAATTGACCTTTTAAAATGATCAGAATTGGTTGCTTTCAACATAGCCTGAAAATGCAGGAAATGCCATTTCCAGGCTCTACATTTCAAAATTGTTGAAAGCAGACCCCAGACCCCCCGCATCGGCTACATGTTTCTGCAGTGGCACTTTTTGGGAGGCAACTACGGCCCTGTTAAATGCGCCTATAGCTCTGGTGTTGATCGTGGTGAGGAGGCAACTGCCATGCGTCTGTACAGTGTATATTATGTATAAGCTCTCTACTTTGACTGCTCAATTTCAACATAATAGTATCTTTTTGCACATATTGTCCATATGCAAATACATATTTAATATGATATAGTATTTTAAAAACCAGGAATACTGCATGTGCACCTCATAATATACATTAACCTTCTAATGTCTCATGAAGAGACAATACGGTATAAAGGAAATTCATATTACATTATCACTACGTACCATGTGTGCTCTCTCGATCGTGCTTACAAAATAATATTCCCTTTTCAGTGCATGCATTAATTTTCCGCAATAACCGTATTATCGTCAGTAGCAGTATGTTTACCCATTGAAATAGATATGTACCCTACATAGGTATGTATCTATTTTTATGGGTTTACCTGCTGAGCTGCGTATAATAACATGTCACATAAAAACAAGAGTTAGTAATAATGTATTATTAGCGCTTGATAATAACCTATTATATATATATATATATATATATATATATATAATATATTATACATGTTTATATAATAATAACGCACATATAAGGTATTATAATAACATGTTGTTATATACAGCTCAGTGGGGTTTACCTACGGAACAAATATGGGTTCTAGTATATCTCTATATATTTCCAAGGGTTTACCAGATACAAAAATCTAACCCAACAAGAGTAGAGGAGTCTCCCTTACTATTGTTGGGTTACATTATTGTATCTATGGGTTTACCCATAGAAATATATAGAGACACCTATGAGTATGACATATTTATTTTATGAGTCTTATTTCTATGGCTTTACGAAAGACTGCAAAACCGGTATCACACCAGAGCATATAAATCACGGTTTGATATAAATCATGGGTTGATTTATATGCTCTGATCACACCAGAGCACACTAGAGCACTAGAGTCCCTGCGCGAGGGAGAGAGTTGCGCCATGACGAGTCGGAAAAAATCGGTCACGTGATCGCTGGACGGCATGTTGTTTCCAAATTGATCCACACCGCTGCCGCTTAAGTACAGCGCTGTATGGATACGCTGTACAATGGTCCGTAGTAATTAATTAGACTAATCGTGCTTCAATAAACTCAAATTTACAGAGTATTATAGCTTAAGACATGTGTCTATGTGTATCTAGATTTTCTAAGAACTGCAAACACATGTTACAGCTGCGAGCGAGTGGAGAGTGGAACGCATTTATCTTGTGAATTACAGTTGTCATTATTCTTCCAAAATGACTAGCTGCTGTGGTTTACACTAAGAAATTGTACAATTAAGCTATCATATGGCGCGAACGATTTGAGGTTACTTTTCTAGAAATCTAGATACATATAAACATGTGTATCTATGATCTCTTGATTATTCTTGAGTTTATTGAAGCGCGAGTGATTTAATTAATTAGCAAGTATCTACGCGCGTATCGCACAGGTTAATATACGCACGGCTATGGCGGTAAGAAAGTGTACAATTAAACTATCATATGGCGCGAACGATTTGAGTTACATTTCTAGAAATCTAGATACACATAGACACATGTCTTAGCTATAATCTCTGAAATTTTGAGTTATTGAAGCACGATTAGTCTAATTAATTACTACGGACATTGTAGGCAGCTATCCGATATCAGCGCTGTACTTAAGCGGCAGCGGTGTGGACCTCCTACTTTGGAAAGCGAACACTCATGGAGTCAAATCATGAGTTGGTGCGCGAACTCTCTGTATAGCAAACATGCATGCAGTGCCCCTTCCACACTCAGGATAATAGAGAGTAGAACTGAGAGAGGACAGTAACCTGTATGATACAGGCGGTATGTCCGCTTCACTACCACTATCTACGCCTGTACGCGAGCTCAACCCTGGCGTTTCGCAGCTCGTATCGATCAGGCCAACTTGAATAACTGGAGAAATGACGTCAGGCAAAAGCCTGCTCGGCTGACTTAGCTGATTGGCCGTGTACAGCTCTCTGATTGGCGCAATCATTTCTTGTTTCGCGAAGCGGGCTGAAGCCACTGATCTCTACTCATAGAGTTGTATTAATATACCAATGAGGGGTCTAATATATAACTCTATGTCTCTAACTATACTAACTGGAATAGCTCTTAGCCTATCCACGCTCAACGTGAATGTGACGCCACCGGCCACCTGCCGCCATCTTGCAAACCACTCCTCAAAGCTGAATCTGCCGGTCTGTGCCCCACAACATTTCAAATGAAAAATAAGAAAATGCGAACTTATTCTATTATTCAAATTGGCATGAAAAAACTTTGATCAATACTTAGAGTTATATAAATATGGATATGATATATCTAGATATATACAGCTAGAATGAAAGAGAAATATTGATATATATACTAGATATATACATTCCATATTTATATGATCTCTTGAAGTATTGATCAAAGTTTTTTTTCATGGCTAATTTGAATAATAGAATAAGTCGATTTTTACTTCTTTTCATTTGAAATGGTTGTGGGAACAGACCGGCCAGATCACGCTTTAGAGTGAAGTGTTGCAAGATGGCGGCCGCGTGGTCGCGGTGTCGCTCAGCATTTGATGAGGCTAAGAGCTATCAGTTAATATACGACTTGTGCAAGTGACGTCATATGTTATAGATGTTCTATTGTTTCCGGCATGTTGGTGATCACCTCATTCTGCTCAGCTGGCCTTAGATGGCTACCGAGTCGGCACCGTCACCTCCGTGGCAGAGGCAGGTAACGTCCATGGCCAGTCTAAGCTTGATCACATAGAATTGCTGCGTGAAATGCCCAGACAAACTAGATTCTGTTGCGCTAAACAGCCAGTCATGTAGTAAAGATCTTATGTGTGAGTGCCTGATCATTCTGCATATGTACGGGTCAGAGTTTAAATCCTGTCCTGGATTGTAGAGAGTAAACGAGCTTTCAGATGTAGACAGTAGAGTACCGGTACCCATTGATAATACACAGGGTGGATTTTCTGGCCAGTGCACGGAAGCTGCTAAAGAGTCGATCATATCAGTCAAGTGAGTTGGGCATGATGTAAATATGTAGGACCATTTAAATCACCTGTCCTGATAACTTATTTTACTTAGTCTCGCTCTAGACTGTTGAGTGCATTAGGCATGCAGCAAGCCCATGTAAGTCGGTGTAACAGTACAGGAACAGAAGCACTTTTATCCTTACGTGAGATGCAGCGATCGATACTAGTATAGTACAGCTATAACTATGGCTTGTACTAATTGTGCAACATCACTCACCAGTTTAGCAGTAGGCTAACTTTGCAACAATAAACGTGAGACTGTGGTATGAGACTACTGTTGCCATCTAATAAACAAATCGTGGTTCTCCTGTAATTCTTACTACTTGTAATAATTTACTTACATAGTAGACATATAGGCATGCACATATGTCAGTAATTCAATTTTCATTTAACGTATTCTTTTTTCATCATTACAGCTATCTACAAGATTCTGCGGCAGTTTATTCCCTTGCATGCATTTATTCTCCTAGGTGCGTGCATTTGGCAAGGCTTCGGAGGGAACGTTGCAATTAGTGTGGTGATTTGTGAGAAGGATGGACGGTGTTGTATGCCGGGCCATCTAAACTGCGCATGGCATGGCGGTTTGGGGAGACCATTCCCATGTAGCTGCGACACTCTTTACCCATTGACAGTGGTAAGTAAGTATATTTTAACTGATAAAAAATAGTGAGTAAACATTGAAATAACTCATCAATAAATAGGTAAAATTCTTCCTTCTTAGTAAAAATTTTATCTACTGTTGTTTTGTAACGTTAATGATAAAGTTAACATTTATGTTTGTATACTGGTATATTAAATGTAGCAGCAAATTCAATTAATTCTTATAGCAATTCGGCCGTAGTACTTGTTACGGCAACTACGTGCAGTTGCTTATAAAGCCCTAGAAAAAATCCATGCTGCCCACAATTTAAGCTGCTACTATCCTATTACTGAAATCGCTTGTTCCTGTCCCTAAAATGCTAGTAGTAGTAACTGACATTTAGTAATAATCAGGGTAATACGTCATCATGTTATGTCGTTTTTTTCACTTCAGCGTGCTGAGGAGGCATAATCGCGTCACCAGATGTATCGTGCCATCTGTATTCGCACGTCACAGATCTCCACAGGAAAAAGAACCTGGCTTTAAGCTGGCCCTGCAGAATCTCATGCAGAGGAGAACAGGCATGAAAAGGCAGGAACAAATGAGGCACAGTATTGTAGGTACAGGTATGTAATAGTGTTGGATAATTAAACTTGACAAAATTTTCTGTGACTAGAAAAGTAAAAACAAACTTAAACATGCAAAAAAGGGGGTTGGCTATTTTTTATGTATCATATTTTTTGGTTCTTCCACTCATGAAGAACTAATCACTCAGTCCGCATGCTGTGACAGGCCAGGTATATATTTTAATTATATTCATATAGATTATATATCATGTTAATATATAATATAATATATACTTATTAAATTATAATGATTTAATATATACTTATAAATACCATGCTTAACATCTGACAATCATATACCTCTATAAAAAATATTAATGATTGGAACTAAAATTTCGACGCAAGCAGGCAGCCAGCCAGCAGCCCTATTACGCATGCTGGACACACCATGGGAGCCGCAGCTCATCAGACAGCACTCTCGAAGCCCAGCACTTCATCGCACACTGCACCACAATCCCAGCCACATCAGATACCACACAGAGACCAGCTCATGCAACAGCACATCCTGACAGCCGGACAAATGTCATCCTCCGATTTGCGATGCACAGCAAAGTCTTAAAATTGGCATGCTCTGTGAACTGTACCATGGTGTTGACTGGCCTGGAGGTTGTAGGAGCTGGCAAGGTTGAGTTGCCTGACTTCTCAAGGTTCTGTGTAATCCAGGTATTGCCGACAGTAATGAACCTGTTAACACTTGATTATGGAATATAAATTGATCGACAGTTTATTCTCATTATTATAGTGTAGCATGACTTCATAATACCAGAACCTGCCAAATGTAAATAACGCTACGTCGAGCGGTTAAGATTTTGTGCCATAACTGTTGACACACTGACGGCATGGAACGCACGACATCATAGCGATTCTACAAGCTGCATCCCGGATTCGTCAGCTGAGGCTAAAATAAAAGATTTTCTATGTCGAATGTTGCTAACACTGAGTATGCACAGCAAACAAATAAAATGCACTGGTAAGCGCAACTGTCTCGTATTGGTAGCTTGTAGATTTATTATATTAATCATCTGATGCATGGCATCCTTTGTAGAATGATGGCTTTGGGGCAGGGAACTCACATGAAACAATGACGTACACAGTAGCCGGTAATCACATAAAAACAATGATGTAGCAGAGTTAGCGGGGGAATCACATGAACAATGATGTATATGACGTTAGCAGGGAATCACATGAAACAATGATGTACAGATTTTGTTCCGGGAATCAGCATGAAGACAATGACGTAACCAGTGTAGCGTGGTAATCACATAAAATCAATGATGTACAGAGATAGGCGTGGAATACATGGAACAATGATGTATAGAGTTTAGCAGGGAAATCACATGAAACAATGATGTACAGAGTTAACAGGGAATGCACATGAAACAATGATTGTACACGAGTTAGCAGGGAACTCACATGAAACAATGATGTATGGGTAGCGTGGAATACATGAAACAATGATGTACAGAGTTAGCGCAGGGAATCACATGAAAACAATGACGCGTACAGAGTTAGCAAGGGAATCACATGAAACAATGATGTACAGAGTTAGCGGGGAATCACATGAACAATGATGTTACAGAGTTAGCGGAGAATCACATGAAACAATGATGTACAGAGTTAGCGGGAAATCACATGAAACATGATGTACAGATGCGGTAGAATCACATGCAACAATGATGTACAGAGTTAAGCAGGGGAATCACATGAAACAGATGATGTACCAGAGGTTAGCGGGAACATCACATAGAAACAATGAATGTAGCCGAGTTAGGGCGAGGAATCACATGAATACAATGACGTACAGAGTTCCGGGAATCAACATGACAAGACGTACAGAGCATAGCGGTGGAATCAGGATGAAACAATGACGTACAGAGTTAGCGGGAATCACAATGAAACAATGACGTTACAGAGTAACGAGGATCAACATGAAACAATGACGTATAGAGCTAGCATGAATCAATGAACAATGACGTACACAGTTTAGCGGGTAATCACATTAAAACAATGATGTACAGAGTTCGCGGGGGAATTCACATGAACACAAGTGATGTACAGAGTTAGCAGGGGAATCACCTAAGAACAATGATGTACAGAGTTAGCGGAAATCCACATAAAACAATGACTGTAGCAGAGTTACGAGGAATCACATGAAACATGACGTACGAGTGTAAGAGGATCACATGAAACACTGACCGTTACAGAGTTAGCAGAGAATCAATAAAAATGATGTACAGAGTTAGCGGGAATCACATAACACAATGATGTCACGAGTTATGCGAGGAATCACATGAAAACAAATGACCGTATAAACAAAGTTAGGCAGGGATCAATGAAACAATGCACGTACAGAGTTAGCAAGGAATTCACATGAACAATGATGTAACAGAGTTAGCGAGGAATACATGACAATGACGTATACAGAGATAGCGTGATCATGAAACAATGAACCGTACAGGAGTTAGCAGGGAATCCCTTGGAACAATGACGTACATTACGGGAATCACATTGAATACATGACGTCATAGAGTTAGCAGGCGATCCATGAAACAATGACGTACAGAGTTAGCAGGGAATACATAAACAACAATGATGTAGCAGAGTTAGCAGGGAATCACATGAAGCAATGATGCTACAGCGTTAGGGGAAATCACATGAAACAATGATGTACAGAGTTCGCGAGGAAATTACATGAAACAAATCGACGTTCAGCGTTAGCGGGATCACATGAAACCATGAGCGTACATAGTTAGGCAGGGAATCACATGAAACAATTGATGGTAGCCAGATATCAGGGAATCAACATGAAACAATGAGTACAGAGTTAGGCAGGAAGTCACGATGAACACAATGATGTCATACGAGTTAGCAAGGAATCACTATGTAACACAATGATGTACAGAAGTTAGTGGTGGAATCACATGAAACAATGATGTACAGAGTTAGCAGGGAAATTCACATGATAACACTGATGTAACAGAGTTTAGCAGGATACTAAACAATGATGTAGAGTTAGTGGTGGAACACATGAACAATGATG